GGGGATCCATACGACATTGTTGACATTATTACCTCGGACTGCCTCATATTGGGTGTTCAGAATCCTTGCAGGAGATAAAGACACATAACTAGATTAATCATTTGATTTTTCTGTGCATGGCTGGACTATCAGCTATTGAAGTGTGGGTGTTCAACCATGTGCGCGCTTATGAGAACTGCGATTAATTTGTTTGGCTAAGACGCATGAGAGAGTCCATGCTACTACCCTAAATAATAATGTACATTGAATTAAGATATATTGTGTTATCTATGCAGAATGAGGTCGGTGACATCTTGCAGTATTAGTATGTCTTATATGCCGGTACTTAGCAATAACAGACGGCATATATATATTTCAATACCGAAGAGCCTCGTCATGTCTCAGAACCCGGCCCTAAAGGCCATACTATCTTAATAACTCAAAGTCTTAGCAGTCATAGACATTGATCTGACTGCAAAGCAGAATTATGTTCTCACAATGGACTAATTGGGGGCGTATTCCGAATCTGACTCGATAATGAAAGGATGATAAGATCTTATCACTGATTGTTGTGCATATACAGCTATTCACATGCACACCACAAAGAAGCAAGACCAAAGCGCAGAATCATGTATTACTTCTGTAAGGAACGTCCTATACCTATCCATCAAATATAGCACCCCTTATATCATCCTCCGCCCTCAGCTATCACAAACATCACCCCAAGATAGAATATCAGATAACCAACGGAGGTATCCTAGAGATGTTAAAATCTCATCTCATCAATATAAAACTCATTTCTCATGACCATGACCGTCCATGCATTTCCTCAATCAATAATCCATCCATCTCAAACCATACCCAAATACCCCATACCCATGGCCAACATCACCGCCACAGACGAGAGCCCGGGAACGCTCACTCCAACAGCCCCATTAACATCACCAGTAGAAGACGCGGCAGCAGCAGAACCACCGGTCGAAGCCGCAGAGCCAGTACCACTAACTCCAGCACCAGAGCCAGTAGCGGTAGCAGTAGCACTCGTGCTGTTCACAGACTGAAGAGCAGAAGTAGCGGCTGCTGCGTTCCAGGTTGTCGTGGACAGAGAGCAGGAGGTGAGAATGTCGTAGGCGTCTGTTATAGTTAGCATATCACTCCTCAATTTTAAACAAAACTTGTATGAGAATGGCAAACCTACCATTATCATTCGCATCATGGTCGTCGTCATGGTCATGCTCTCTGCGATAATTGGCAATGCAGGCCTCGCACAATGGCAGAAGAGTAGGTGCCTCGACCCAGTTGCAGATGCAGTTGAGCTCGGCACGGTCGTTGTCGTCGTACCGGTGGTCGCAGCCCTGGGTTATGCCTACGACGGGACCGCAGACGGACCAGCACCGGTCGGGGACATCGTCAGAGTCGAGGTCGTTGTCGGCGCGGACGAGAGGAGTAAAGAGGAGGGTGGTGGTGATGGAGAGGAGGGCTGGGATGAGGTGGAAGTGCATTTTCGATTGCTTTTGCTTTTGCTGCTGTTTGTGGTGTTGTTCTTGTAGTGGTGATTGGGAAGCTTTAGAGACAAGGCCGCGATACGCAGTAGTGATTATCGAAGTGTGATGATGGTTTGTTCTCGAGGGAATTGATGTTGATGATGATATATGGATGTTGGATGGATATTGCTTCTAATTTATACCTTGTTTCTCTGTATACCACTACCTACTTTGTTTCTATATTTGTTTTTTCTGTACTACTAGTCGGGGTAGGTGACATGCTGCTAGGAGAAAAATCATATGCACAACAACTCCTCAATGCAATATCGGAAACAACTGTCCTCCCTACATTCGTGAGGTCTTCCCACCCCCAGCTTGCCTGATTCGGCACGAGAGGTAGGTGGAAGTAAGGATCAGTAGCTCGGGTATATGCACTTCGGTCATGCCAAGCTGCGGGAGGACCCTGATCATCTCTGATAACACCAATCTGGGAGATGAGAACGAAGTTGCCTGGAAGTTAGTCTGAATTTGGTGTTGCTGAATGGCTGTATAGTTTGATAGTGTCAGGGCACCGCCAACGGTGGGGTAGCCCGATATGCCGTTGCAGTTGGAGTCCCTGAGTGTGGGTCGCGATAGTTCAATAGTAGGCGAGTTGTGGAGTGGGTTGATTGATTGATCGGAATGATTCCCGGGGTTACATGGAATGTTGTTGGGGGCTGCTGGTGTAGTTCTGTTTTTGCATAGAGTCAAGGGAGGTTTCTACTGCAGTCAAGTATGGGATAAAGGTATGATGTCATCTGTGACACTGTCACTCGGGGCTCTTCTGGAACCAACGAGGAACTCATCTGCCGGAGTTATCCATCAGCTGGCATGACACTGCATGGAAATTTGTCTCGAATGAAATGGTTCAATGCTCAAATTTGGGGAAAGCCCAGGTACACAGTACAAGCTATTCCTTCTCCACCCGCGGGTGAAGTTCTAGCATCGGATGGATGCACTGCCTCCCCGCTATATTTAGTTCCTGCACAGGTTATAGAAACATCACACCTGCATCTGCCACTTAAAGCTCGGATAATGATGCTGCCTGTGTGCAAATGTGAGGAACCGGAACAAAGCTGCTACCACTAGTCAATCTTTGCTGCAGGCCACCGCTAGCACACACACCCAGATACCTATGTTCGCAGAGTCTTGTCGATATCAACACAGTAGGTCCCTATGAGTTAGGTCATCATGAAGTCAGGTGCTCGCACCTTGGATAACCCGGTCGGAGTTAACCGCTACTTTCTTCCTGCATCCGCTCATCCGCAGGCATCATGACAAGGCATCTCGGCTACAACCCTGCATATCATCCAATCCATTGAATTGATCGACCTCACTATGGCTCGCGCTGCAATGACCAAACTCTCCTGGGAGAGTCACGTCCTCCGTCCCGTGCAAAACGCACCTCCCGCCATCATTCCCACATTAATCTACGGTACCGCTTGGAAGAAAGACCAGACCGCCGATTTGGTACACCAGGCGCTCGGAGCTGGTTTCCGCGCCGTGGACACTGCTGCCCAACCCAAGCATTATCGCGAGGACTTGGTCGGGGAAGGCATACGCAGGGCCCTCCAGGACGGCTACGTCCGACGAGAAGATCTTCATGTAAGTGGCCAATCCACAGCAAAACCCAAAATTAGAAATTCTCCATTGCATTTCGTGTCTGCCTGTTGCTAATTCATGTCAGGTCCAAACCAAATTCACGTCCGTCAATGGCCAGAGTCCGGATAATATGCCGTATGACCCCAAGGCCTCGGTGACTGATCAGGTCCATGCGTCTATCAAGTCGTCGCTGCATAATCTCCGGCCGTCAGGCGCGGCAGATAGTGTGAACGACGCATACATTGACATGCTCATTCTGCATTCACCGCTGCCGACGATGTCTCAGACATTGGAGGCTTGGTCCGCGGTTGAGAGTTATGTCCCTCACCAGATCCGTAGCTTGGGTATATCCAACACGACTCTGTCCATCTTGAAGGAGCTGTTTGGCCAAGCAAGGGTAAAGCCTGCTGTGGTTCAGAACCGATTCTATGCCGACACGCAATACGATGTTCCCTTGAGGGCCTTTTGCCGGGAGAACCAAATCATTTACCAGAGCTTCTGGACGCTATCGGCAAATCCAGAATTAATTCGCTCGGATGCTGTTCAGCTGCTTGCCCATGAAGCAGACATCTCGCCAGCTGCAGCACTTTACTGTCTTGTTCTAGGACTGGGGCACACTACGGTGTTGGACGGTACAACCAAGCGCCATCATATGGAGGAAGACTTGGCTGCCCTGCAGAAGATCGAGCGGTTTACGGAGGATCAGCCAGACCTGTGGCAGAGAATACTGAAACGCTTCCGGCAGTTAACTGGTGACCAGATGGTGGAATAGACTGATTCTCTTGATGGTGAAGTCTTTGATTGCTTTCATCCTGTACATCTGTGCTTGGCTTTCTGCAGCCCCTAGATGTTTGGCTAGGGGAAAATTTGAAGCGTCAGAAATCGATAGAAGCATCGTGAAACCTCTGGAAGGAAAACAGGCTTTGGATCAGGCCGTCCGAAGAAATGGGCCAAGTCGATGCCGCAAAGATTAGCGGGTGGTGATTGGACAATGGGGCAGTGGGGAGCTTGCCGTCCCGAAGGGAGCCAACCTCACTAGCAAGTACTTAGTAGAGGTCATAACAGTAGCGTGGTCAGCAGCGATGGTTGCCGTTGACGATGGTTGCTGTCCGTAAGTGAGAACAAAGCGTTTGACGCCCAGGAGGGATACTAGAGTGAATAACAACGGAAAACTGCGAATCGCGACTGAGACGCCCTCGTCCACGTGCCGTACGCTGAGTCAGCCATTGGCCAATCACGACTCACCGCCGAGGTTTGAGATCATCACCGCCCGCCAAGCATCTCGAGTTCCCGAGTTTGCTGGCGGTGACCAGACGCCGTTGCCTGTCCTGAGCCCCCTCAGATCCAACTCCGTCGCTTCATCCCGTTCTCCGTCGCGCCCATTCTTCTTCACCTCCCGTGGTGGAAGGCTTTGTTTCTTCTGCGCTTTGTGCCTGCCTTTGTTGCGCCGGCTCGGTTGTATCTCTGAACCCACCTTCGGCCCCAGAGCCTTCCCGTGTTAAATAGGCTCTGTCGATTCTCCATCACCAGCCTGGTTCGCTCAAGTAATTTGGATTCAGCGACTGCATCGCATCCAGACGCATATTTTCGGTCCGATATAGAATTGCCGTCTTCGCAGATTGCCTGACGCCCGCCTTACATTCGATTCTTGCTACTACGCCTAGCGTCTGCGGCGGCGCCGTCGCGTCTCCGCCATTGACACTTGCGCCTGCAGTCCCACGCTCTCTCCGCTGCTGAGCGCTCTTCATCCTTCTGAGTGCCATCGCCCTGGACATCTCTGAGAATCACGACGTTGATGACAAGTTCCCCTCCTCATAACCGGATTGCCCGTGCCAACTAAGGCCTTCCGCTCACCCCGCCATTTACCCGACCGACTAAGTACTTCTCTCGTCTCTCGCCCAATCGCCGTTATTCTTCCTTCCCTCCTAGTGGACGACCCTAGGCCATCGTATACGCGACTTTACTCGCCCCTTAGAACGTCTTTGCTCTTTACCGACCATTGGTTTTATCGCCTGTGATGAGTCCTCAAGGAATTACCCGCAAGAGACCTGCGCCTGGCACATCCCCGATCGTCCATCCTCAGCTGGGCCCATTATCCAATTACCCTCAGAACCCCGGAAACCAACTCTCCAACGACCAGTTTCTGCAATGGGGTCAGACCTCCTCGAACGTGTCCAGTCCCTCCTTCCCTGATTCCAACCCCTACAGCGCTGCTGCCTACACATCCAGCCCGGACGTGCCTGCGGCCAATGTTACTGCTGCTGCTCCGGGGCAGCTTGCGCGTCGTCAAACCCCAACTCAACTGGTGAATCGCGGCCGAGGATATGAACAAACACCACCTTTCTCCGATCATAGTACTGGGACTGGAGAAAACGGGGGATGGGGGGAGAGCCTGGAGGACCTATATAAGCGCGCGATGGTTGCGAAGAGGGAGGCACAGGCCAAGCGGAAGCAGATCCCTCCATTTGTGCAAAAGCTGAGCAGGTAGGTTGACCGACTGACAGCAGCGAATGAACGAATACTAACTGCAGTGTAGTTTTCTGGACGAGTCGAAGAACACTGAACTTATCCGATGGTCTGATGATGGAAACTCTTTCATCGTTATGGATGAAGATGAGTTTGCGAAGACCCTCATTCCGGAGCTGTTCAAACACAACAACTACGCCTCTTTCGTTCGCCAGCTGAACATGTACGGCTTTCACAAGAAGGTTGGGCTGTCGGACAATTCGATGCGTGCTAGCGAGCGGAAGAACAAGAGCCCGAGCGAATACGCCAACCCCTACTTCAAGCGCGGGCATCCTGACCTGCTATGGTTGATTCAGAAGCCCAAAAACACGGCGGGTCAGGGTAGCAAGTCTGGGAAGACAAACGTGCGTGTGAAGACCGAGGAAGCGGAGGACCAGGACCACGACGACTACGGGGATGATGGCATTGGATCTCGAGATGACCGTGCGCGCAACCGCCAATTGTCTCTCATCACGAACAATGTCATGCCCAAAGACCAATTGGCAGGCGTGTATCGAGAGCTGCAAGCTATCCGGCAGCAACAACAGATCATTTCCAACACCATCAGCAAACTACGGCGCGAGCACGAGCAACTGTACGCGCAGGCGGCCAACTTCCAGGAGCAGCATACGCGGCACGAGAACTCGATAAATGCCATCCTCACTTTCCTAGCAACTGTCTACAACCGCAGTCTGCAAGGGCAGGAGGGACCGCAGAATCTGGCGAACTCATTCGCGGGAGCTATTTCCCAAGACCAAGGCAACGTTGTCGACATGGGGGACGAGTATACGCTGAGCACCTTAGGTGATCTGAATAGCCCTGGTGGACAACGGTCAATGAAGAAGCAACCCCTCTTGCTGAAAGCCCCCCCGGGGGCTGACCGGCAGAGCCGTGCGACAACATTGTCCCCTGCTGCCACCGCCTATGACCGCTCACAACCGCGTGGCCATGGCCGGCAGCCGAGTGCGTCGCAACCCGGCCATGTCGAGGAGGTGTTTGACACGAGCCCGCGGCAAAAAGAGGCGGCGGTGCCAGCGAATCAACAGTTCCCACAACGGGATATTATGTCTGTGATTCAGAACTCCAATGCGCGCAACGGCATGCCAACGACGTTCGCCGACTTCCCTAATGTGCTGTCATCCCTCGAAACATCCGGAGGAAACTCGCCACTCACCCCCAACCAGCGTGCAGATATGCTCCGTCTGATGGCCAACGAGAGCAATTCCAGCGGCACCAGCCCGCCGGTGTCTCAAAATAACGCGCTGATGACCCCGACGCCACCGCCGATGCCACACAACTACTCGGGGCGGCTGGCCAATACCCGCGCGGAGATCGACAACCTGGTGAAGATGCAAGCGGAGCAAGACCGTTCCGTGCAGAACCTGACCAACCTGCTTCAACCCTTGAGCCCTACAGGCACCATCCCTGGCATTGGCACTGACGGCAGCGTCCCCCCTCCCCCACTAAACCTTGATGAGATCTTCACCAACGACTACTTCACGGACATTGGAGACCTCGAGCATAATAAAAACAGCTTAGATTTCGGCGACTCGTCGCACTCGGTACCGGTCACAGCATCAGCCGACCCAACGGCGACGACCGGTCCCGAGGACGGCGTGATCAAAGATGCCACCGAGCTGTTCGATTTCGACCAGATCCCAGCAGAGGGTGATATCTTCAGCGGAGCCAACCCGCAGTCGACGGCCGGGTACTACAACGGATACGAGGGCAGCGGTTATGGAACCAACGCAATGAGCTCGGGAGTCGGCGCGGATGCACAAATCCCCATCAACCACGAGACCAATCGCATCGAGGCACTTCCAGACAGCGAGAGCACCAGCCCGGCCAACACGGTGGATGATGGCTTGCAGTATGGCGGGTCCGAAACTAACGATTCTCAGGGAGGTAAGGGCAATGGCGGCGGCGCGAAGCGGCGCAAGAAGGCTTGATTTTTTATTATTTTCATTCTGCTTGATGACATTACTAACGGGGCTGTGTGTCTGCGGAAGGCAATATCAAGAGCCAACCTTGGAATTACGAATACGAATAAAAGCTTAAACTTTACATTTGTCTTGCCTTTTCTTGAATGAGGTATATCGCTGCATATAATCCCCCATACCCATACCTATACCCATGCCTACCTACCCCTTATCATATGAACTCGTCAATTCCCCTCTCCCTTCTTCTGCATGATTTCAAAGAACCGATCAAGACATCTCACAGCTCAGTTGACTGACTGATTGATTTAATGATTGAAATTCACGCTTCTCTTCATTGATTGACGGCCTCACAAAAGAAAGGAAAAAGCAATCATACATACCCTTGCCAAACACACTCTTCCCCTTCACAATTCCCCTTCGCCCAATCATCTGGTTTCATTTATCTTACATTCCTCTTCCTCTTCCTCTTCCCTCCCGTACACGAAAGAATGCTTCTACACATACCACGATTCTAATGATAGCGGCGCACGTTTTGTTCATAGTATGAATTAAATAAAATGACATTAGGTTCTCCTCTCTTGGTCTTAGTTGATTCGCTTTTCACGCTGGTTAGGATTGGATTTCGTGTGTCCTGTCTACATTGCTGGCTTGTTACTGACGGTAGTTGTGGATTGATTAGTAGTAGATGTATGTATGTTTGAGTTGTATTGACGTTCTATCCTCGTTCGATTCCGATATACCATGTAGAAGTAATAAGGGTTATAGTATAGTATGTATGCTACACATCAACTCATCATTGTCAATAGAAGAAAAAGTTACTTCCTCCCCTTCTCCCACTCCAAATCTCCCACCCTCCCTCTCTTCCTATCTCTCTCACGATCCCGTTCCATCATCCCCCTCTTCTTCCTCCCAGACCCGGACCCGGACGCAACAATATCCTTCTCCTTCTCCCGCGGATCAATCACCATCAAGCTATCCACGTCGTCCGGATGCTCCTTCTTCCATTTCAAATCCTTGCCCAGCGTATCTTTCCCGAAGCGGAGCTGGTGCGTTAACCAGCCTTGGTCTGTGTCATCGCCTAATTGGTTGTCTTCATTGCCTTCGGCGGCATCAGTGCCGGCTGCGTTGTTGTCAGACCAGGATTTGCATGATTGGCAGTTCACGATGAAGTGGAGGTCGCAGAGTTGAGATTCCTCGTCTTCCTCGTCTTCTTCTTTCTCTTTCTGGGGTTTGGGTTGTGGTTGTTTGCTGGTCGTAGTGGTGGTGGGGGTAGAGTCGGCGTTTTCGAGTTTCGCCTTGAAGGCATTGAACATCTTCAGTGCGGCGTTGTCGCTGGTACTGGAGAACCCTGTTATGCCGTTGCTGGCGCTGGTACTTGCTGAGGATCCGGGTGGTGGGCGTCTGCGGCCGCGGATGGCTGTTTGAGGGATCATGGCTTCCAAGGCGGACTTCTTGCGTTCTGTGTCTGACTCGGTGGTTACGGTGCGACGCATGGAAGCTTTCAGAGACTCAATCTCGGCGTTGGTTCGCTCGAGTTTGGACTTTTGTGCTGGCTGTTCTTCCGGCGTAGGAGAGCGTTCGGGAGACTCTGGATCGCGCAGAGGAAGTTGCGTCGCTGGGTCGGGATTCTTGGGTCGGTCAATGGGTGGAGGGGTGGGTGATGCGCGCTTGCGCGGTGGTGGTGACGGTGACGCCTTCCTTGCCTTGACCTTCTCCTTCTTCTTCTCAGCTGGCGCATCCCCATTCCCAGCTGTAGTATCCGTCACCAGCGCAGCATTATACTTCGGCTTCGCCGGCCTGACAGGCATCTCCTCACCCTCTTCACCCTCATCATCACCAAAGCTGAGCAGCGTCTTCCCTCCCTTCGCCTTGCCCTTCTTCTTCGCTTGCGCTGTCTTTTTCCCACCCTTCACTTCAGCAGTCGCAGTCGCAGAACTTCTCGCCGTCAAATCCCTCTTCACAATCTTCCCCTCCAACGGCCCCAACTCTCCCACGTCACACCCGGTAACCCTAATGGGATAAACCGGCCTCTCGGTCCCCTCGACCACCTCGCCCTCCGCAATCTTCAACACATTATAGATACTATCTCCCTCGATCCTCCCAAACAACGTACACTGCCCATTCAACTCCCGACTGGCATCCCCCAACGTAATGAAGAATTGACTCCCGTAGCTCCCGTCCTCGGCTTTCGCCATCCCAACCAATCCGCGCCGATTGAACCGTAACCGGCTGTGGAGTTCATCGCGCAGGACTACTTTCTCGTTCGGATCGCGCGCTGTCGGGTCGTATTCGAATTCGGGTTCTTCGTAGATGCTTGTTCCGCCTGAGCCAGTTCCCGTTGGGTCGCCACCTTGGAGGATGAAGTTGGGAATGATTCGGTGGAAGATTGTTCCTGTGTAGTAGTTGTCTTGGATGTGTTGGAGGAAGTTGCGGCATGTTAGGGGCGTTTGGGAGGCGAAGAGCGCGATGTGTAGGGGTCCTAGGGTTGTGTGCAGGGTTGCGGAGGCGGTGGCGGTGGGTTCGGTGTTGTAGTGTGTCGACATTTTGGTTCACGAGCGCACGGAGGCGTGCAGGTGTGAGGGTGTTGGGGTGGTGGTTGTTTGGTGATAGTGATAAGTGGCAGCTGGAGCTGCGCGATTGGGGAGTTCCGTGTAGCTAGGTAGGTGGATAGGTGGCAGTTGTTGAATTGATAGGGTTAATTTCAATTCATTAAATTCAAGGAGGAGGTGACGACCCGAAATAGGGTCCGTGGTGCGAGGGAGCGCGTGCGGAGGTGAAGTCGGAGATGAAGTTGAAGCAGTTGGAAATTTGCGTGGGTCACGCACGTCATGTCGCGCCGGCGCGGCGGTAGTATTAATAGCGTAGCTCCCCTCCGCTTGATCTATTCTACAACTAAACCCCTCCTTGTACCACTACTGCTGCTGCTGCTGCTCTCGATATGAGCATAACTGACTATATTAATCTAGTATCCCTATTTCATTATGGAGCTACATCAACGAAAATCACAACCCATAAACATCCTCAAAACACTTGGCCGTATCAGGACAACTAACACCAGTCAGCAAACACATCACCCCAAGCATTGACAAACATGAACTCGACTTACTATACAGCCTCCCTCCCAAAAATAACATGCCACAATGACCCCATCAACTGCTCAATCTCCTCATCTTTCAACTTCGTCTCCATCACCCACTGCTGATACCTCATATACTCCTCCCTGGGTCGCTTGTGCACCTGCTCCCTCGACACCGCAAACTGTCCACAATACGGCGTCGCAATCATCTCCGGCACACCAGTGCTATTGAATACAGTCTTCCAGATGACCGGATACTCCTGTTCAATCGTTGTGACTTGCGCACTAGTCTCGTTGGCATCAGAAACCGGACGGATCACGTTCCCGCACTCGTCATCTGAACTGGAACCAGAACTACTGCTAGTAGTACAGCGGAGATTAGCGAACCCGTTCTTCTGCACAAATTCGCGTCGGAGAAAAGTAACGGCTGCCACGTTCCCGTAGTCGCGGAACTCGGTGTGACCTGGTTTGCGGTGGTTGTGCAGGAACACAATCGTCGCGGGCAGATGGTGGTAGTGGTCGATGATGTACTGAAGGTAGACGGTGCTGGCTTTGCCTTTGTTTTTGGGGATGCTGAGGGGGTGGCGCCGGTCGTCGCGCGTGTAGATTGCGTGGCGCCAGCTGGAATTGTCAATGGTGATACAAGAAGTATGGATGAAGTGTAGGGGGGGTGAGCGCTCACTCGGGCAATTCATTGATGAGCCAGTCAGGTCTTTCGAACTTGAGTCGCCCGACGACAATGACACCGTCAATGGGTGTCTGCGTCGTGTCCAGCATGTTGTCGATGACCCATTGAGGGGATGCAGTGTCCTTCTGGTATGAAGGGAGGAGGTCCGTTATCGAAGGACGCTTCTTCCTACCCATTGATGGGGAGGGCGTTGCTGAAGGGGTGTGCGATACGTCTGCAATATCCGGCTGTATAGACTGGGTAGGTTTGCTGGATTGATATTCATCCTCCAGAGGATTTGTTTCGGGGATAACCTCCTGCTGTTGCTGGACTGTGCTCACTTGCGATCCGACCCAGAGTACAGTGAGGACCAACAGAGCGGCCATCGTTAAGCGGATAAGGACCTGCATGGTTGAGTAGATGCTGGGCCTGTAAGACTGGCTGCGGGTGTCGCGTTCGCGGGCTGGAGAGCGCACCGGAGTCCCTCATGGAGATTGACTGTAGATGTGTCTGGAGTGGTAGTCGTAAGGAGAGAAGAGTGCCTCGTCATCGAAGAAACTTCGCGATTGTATCCAGAACAGCCGAGGTCATGATGTAACGGCTTAGGTGTCGCGATGGCGGGCCTCCCCGTGGTGGAACCAGAAGTGCATCCATCCATGGTTCAGGGTGTTCGTCGCATCCAGGCCTCGACCCAATTTTTGATGCAATCTACTTTGAAGATGTGGTTACCGGAAATGAGACGGTTCAGCTATTGACAAAGAGTCCGAGGTGGAAGAGGAAATAGCTACGAGGAATATTTGGTGCGGCGCAGAATATTGGAATGACGGCAGCGTCAGCTTGGTAGAATATCATAAAGACTGTAGTGCTAATGTAGGCTCATTATAACTCGGACCAGGATCCCGATACGAAGCCAGTTATTGGTTTAAAAAGTAGCACAAGACTGGAAATCACGATGCTCCAGCCATCATAAAATCATCGCTCATCCAAACTCATCAAGAATACATGCTCACTGCTTTTAGTCTCTCCTAAGAGGTCTTGTCTTCCTCGTCGGCAGCTGCGTTCTGTGCAACTGCGCCTTTCTTGGTAATGCGGAATCCTCCCACGAGAAGGAGGAGCGCCTCTGCACCAAGAATGACCGCCAAAGTTACCATTGCACCGATAACACCCGCTACCGGCCGGGAGATACCACTGCTTGACTTCTGCGGAGGCGTAGAAGTAGAGGTAGTGTTGGAGCTGGTCGAGTAAGACGCACATTGACCATCAGTGTTACCACATGCCTGGCACCACTGCGACTGCGATGTGACGGCAATCTTCGTGCTCAGACGCTCAAAGTCGGACCAGGGAATGGTGGCACTTGACCGGCCGTAAAGTGGGTACTCAGTAGGGCTATCGTTCTTTGACTCATTGAGTGTACCGTTATGGAAGACGAATCGCACACTGATGTCGGAAGTGGAAGGAAATTCACTTGAGGTTGAGTTCGTCACCAGTTCCCATGCCATAGAGGAAGCATAGTCGGGAATTCCAGTGAAGTTGACGTCCGCAGCAGGGAGTTGTGCCAGACCAAAGTAGGAGAGGAACGTGCCGTAGGAGCCGAACTGAATATTCAGCTTGGTTTTCCCCTTGGATGTGATCGTCTTGTTCAAGCCTTGAAGAACGTCACCTGCCAGCATGGCGCCTGCTACGGCTCGGACGGGCTCAGACGAGTTGTAAGCCAGGTTGTATTGCTCAATGTTAGCCAGCAGGAAGGCCTGGTGGAGTTGCTCTGCTGTTGGCACATTGGTGGTATTGTGAATGGACCCGACATTAAGGTAGTCAAAAATGGTGTAGGCATTCTTGAAGCTCATTGAAGATTCGGAGAAGGTACTGTTCAATAGCGACGAAAGCGATTGATAGAAATCGGTGGTAGAATTAAGAAGTGAATTATACGAGGACGAGCTGTAGTAGTTGTTGCTGCTGACTTCCGCATTCTGGCAATTGGTCGCACTCTGCAGCCAGGTGGTGTCCTCGCTGTTTGATCCCGAGTCGGTCATGGACAAGGGGATCAGCTGGTACCCATTCAGGGGAGAGTCGACGACTGTTCCATCAGCCAAGGTCTCGTTGGCTGACGAGCCGACAGGCGGATAGACTCCTTGCAAAAATCCTGTGGCAGAATTTTGCAGCACATCGTCAGACGGGGTAGAGGCACTGATCTGGCTCAGCTTGACAATGTCTTCACTGATATTTTGGATCTGCAGAGAGGAGTCCGAATCAATGTAGCGGCTCCGCCAGTAGGTACCAGTGGTATAGACCTCACGGTAACCCAGATCGGTCAATTCCGTGTCCTTCAGCACCTTAGCCGTGCGGTCTCCATGCCGAGCAAAGATGTAAGCACCTAGCACCTTCTCAGCAGATGCTGGAAGGGCCAGAGACATGACCATCAAGGCCAGACAGAGACCAGAAGATTGCGAAGAAGTGCGCATGATGAGCCAAGCGTGGTGTCACTGGGAGGAGAACTGAGGGGAAGTAGCAGACTATCTATAAAGGGCGTAAAGACATGCATGCATGGGGGGACTTAGAAGAAACCCCGCGGAGAAGGCTCTTATCATGATGACTCGCCCACGGCGGGGTCCGCGAGAGTGTTTCCCGGAAAGGCAGGATTGGAGAGGGAAAGAAGGACCGACAGGGTTGAGCCAGTCTAGACCCGGATGCAGATGGAGGCAATCCGTGGACGAATCGTTGGGCTGGTTGGCTTGAATAGCCCGCCTTGGCTGTAGCCGGTCTCTTGGCTGTCACGAAGAGTCAACAGAAGAGACATTAAAGGTAATTGAGTTTAATAAGCGAAATCAAGCATACTCTAGATAAGCGATAGTATATGTCAAGATGGGTATCGAGATAGAAAGTCAATGGATGTCTGAGAGGTGTTGTTGGGGACTTAATCTTTCCCCAGACCATGAGCTGTTCTCAAATGCCGAGGAGAAGCAAAACAGGGCTCTTTCCCCACTTTTGACTTTTGGAGTCCCTGCAGTATAGGGCGGAGATGTTGACCAATGATTTCACGCTTGCAAAACACTGAAGATTCCGAGTGGCATCACATGACTACAGTGGTATGATATTGCTCTGCCACTTATTATTACGCATAATTTAATTTACATGTCTTTCCTGGCCCTAAAACCTGAGTGAGATTGGCCTACGGCTTAAGCTCTGAATTCTTTAGTCAACAGGAGATATCTATCATACCGTCTGAGTCTGCTCTTATTTCACTCTTCTCTGATCTATGTTCCCTATCCTCATTAACACTCATGTTTCTTTGCCAGATTGCAGACACCGAAGACCTGTATCAAGTGAATACTAATTATTGTGGTGTGTTTGTTACTATATTTTCTGCTAACATACTTTACTGGGCGAGGACTAACACATCAGATACAACAAGGTGGGAAGATAACTGTTACAGCAGAATCGCGGATGGAATCACCTACGCATCTGATGCACAAGGGTACTCCCGGGTGCAACCGCGGGAGTAGATCTGCTTGAGGATATGGTGATCAATCCCAAAATATTAATCTTTAGTTAGTATCCAGGTAGATCATGCTTCTCCGCTACCCTGTGGCACCTGAAGCACTCCTTCTATATACGCCAAATTGCGAGTTGCGCAGCTCTCAATAACATGGACTATTGCATTGCTATCGACCTGTCCACTGCGACTATAGCGTGTGCCGAGCACCTGGATCTATACAATCGGAACCTATGGAGGCCTGCTTCAACACCTTTAGCCGTTCCGACAAACTTGAAATCTTCATCCTGATTTTGCGTTATATCTGCTTCTCATTACCTTATGGGATTCCTACGGGAAAATAACTACTATGGATATTGGCGATCTCTTCCACTGCCCCACAGCGTGGGATATTATCCTATGGGAAGCTCGGAAAATAGCCCGGAAAAGCATCCGGATACCCTACTACTTTTCCGACAACCGCATTATTTATACGCGATCTATATTCTTCCTACTCGAAGAAATGTAACCTCAAAATAGACGATAGTTATATCATTACTACCTCCGCATAGTTGCTCAAATATACACTTCCCACCGTTCGCACTCTCATTTACTGTGGCCCTTCTACTCTTTCCAACAAGTCACCTACTATAAAACATCGGTTTTATAAAGATGGCATTAGGTCGCACCTTCAAGCTCAACACAGGCTACGACATGCCTGCCGTTGGCCTAGGAACGTGGGTACGTCAATTACCTTTACGCAAAATGAATCCTGTTCATGCCTGACGGATAAATAGCAATCGAAGAAAGACGAAGTCCGCGATGCCGTCATCGCAGCCTTGAAATGCGGCTATCGGCACATCGACGCGGCAGCAGTGTACGGCAATGAACAAGAAGTGGGTGATGGGATCAGACAGTCTGGCGTTCCGCGGAAGGGCATTTTCGTAAGCAATGCCTCAAACCGAATCAGAGTACATGATACATCGCTAACATGTATATGTAGCTTACCAGCAAGCTATGGAACACCCACCACCATCCTGAGAACGTCGAAGAGGCTGTGGATATATCGCTCGCTGATTTGCAGACTGATTATCTTGATCTGTATCTTGTATGTTGACGATGCGTCCAAGCTGTTGAAGTGGTGCTAAGAAATGTTAGATCCACTGGCCTGTCGCTTTCAGATACTCAACAACCACTATCCAGCCCGTTAATGAACAAACGGGTCTGATTGATGTCGTGGATGTTCCGATCAAGGATACATGGGCTGCTATGGAGAAGCTAGTCGAGAAGGGGAAAGTTCGCTCGATCGGAGTGAGCAACTTTACTCGCGAGAAGATTGAGGAGTTGTTGAAGACGTGAGTGTGCTTGTTACTATGTCTGTAACAAAGCTGACAGTATCCATAGAGCGAAGATAACCCCCGCAGTCAACCAGATCGAAGCTCACCCGTTTCTTCAGCAGAAGGATCTGCTGGAGTGGTCGACGCAGAAGGTAAGATACTCCACATTTTTGACACAATGACTCTCATACTAAGTTGACAATGTACAGGGAATCGTAATAGCAGGCTACTCCCCTTTAGGCAACAACATCTATAACATCCCCCGGTATGCACCCCATATACATCTCCCCACCCCCTATAAATCACCGACTGATTAACATGAAATCAGCGCCGTCGACGACCCCCACGTCATCGAAACAGCCAAGAAACTAAACAAGACCCCCGCACAAGTCCTAATCAGCTGGGCCGTGCAGCGCGGAACAGTCGTGCTTCCCAAGTCCGTGACCCCAGAGAGAATTGAGAGTAACTTCCAAGGTAATCCCCATGTTTGCTCTCACCTCCAAAACCTTCCTATATGCTGATATGCACTAATCAGACTTCATCCTCCCCGACGACGCATTCTCGACTATCCAGTCACTGGAGCGACATCAGAGAATGAATTTCCCGGCTAGAATTGGAGTGGATATCTTCTCGGAGGTAGGTGAGGAGAGTGTGAAGAAGAGTGCGCTTGCTTGGGCGGAGGAGCAGAGGGTATTGAAGGCGAAGGCTTAGTTCTAGAAATAGGTCATCTTAGTTCAGGCTATGGTGAGGGGTCGTATGTGTGGTTCTGCTGACGTTTGCAGACGGATGTACATCACAAGGCAATTCGAAGATAGTTTGGTAGAGATATGGTTACCTTGATTCAACTTGATGAGAAGTAGTAAGCCTATCACCAAGGATCCTAGGATCGAACTATGTCCTCGGCTAATTCATTCAAGTCAACACAGTTATAGTTATCTATTTTTCACTACATCTATATTTAATCATCCAAAATCTGCACCTTAATCGCCCCCGAACGAGGGTTACTAGCCGTATCAAACGCCTGCAACCCCTCCTCCAGCTTATACCGATGTGACACCAACGGCTTGAGATCAATCATACCCGCAGCGACCAGAGCGATCGACTTGGGGTAGATATCATGGTACCTGTACTGGAACTTGAGGTTGATTTCCTTGGCGGACATGTGCATGAACGGGATGTTCTGGAAGTCTTTCCCGACTCCGATCACGAACACGGTGCCTCCGAAGCGGGTTGCCTGTATCAATCAGTCAGTCACCTATCACCGGAGACACAGACATATGTGGATTAGAGAAAGGGAGGGAGGACATACATATATACCAGCATGCACACTACTCTCCGCACCCGTACACTCCATCACAAGCTTCGCCTCCTGTCCCAGCTCGGATATGATCCGTTGACCAAGATCCGCCGAGCTCTCGCCCCTCTCTACCTTGACTGGTCGGACGCGGGGCACCAGCTCCTTTGCTTTCGCGAGACGGTTCTCATCGAGGTCGGTGATGACGATGGGCTCAGCGCCAGCAGCGTTGGCGGCGAGTAGAGTGACCAGACCGATGGGTCCAGCGCCGCAGATAACGAGTGGATCGGCGAGTCGTAATCCAGAGCGATCAATACCCGCCAGCGCGACGGTCAGTGGCTCGAGGAGAGAACCCTCTTCGAAGGAGACGTGGTCGGGGATCTTGTGGAGCCAGGCCTCAGGGTGGGCGTGGTATCTGCGCAGAGTACCATGGTGCGGGGGTGTGGAGAAGAAGACCACGTCCGGACAGGCGTGGTAGAGACCTGTTCGGCAGAAGTCGCAGGTGGGTTTGGAGCAGGGGACGCCGCATTCGAGGGCGACGCGGTCACCTGGAGGTTGGAATGGTTAGTGGGTGGTCATATGTAGGGTGGTGATGGATTCACCGGGCTTGAAGCGTGTAACAGCCTCGCCGACTTGCAGTACCACGCCGGCACTCTCGTGCCCTAGTCCGTTGTCGCCCGTCACGATCATGGGCCCGATATGGCCATGTTTCCAGAAGTGCACATCAGAGCCACAGATTCCGGTCGCGCGAACGTGCACTAGGCACTCGGTTGGTGCGATCTTGGGGATTTCGCATTCCACTAGCCGCAGGTCGTTGGCTGGGCTGGTGTGGATGGCGTAGTTGGTAGGTTTTTGTTGGAGGATCTCCATTGTGTTAGATGTGCGCAACGTTGTAGGAGGAGAATTCTCCTTGAAAGGGTTGGGGAAGTGCCATATTTATGTGATTTATCTCTCCTTTGGATCTCATTTTTGCCATACTTCAAAAATTAGACGGCGATACCCCCGAGACGCGGGGGAATCGATGGACAACTGGACAAATGTGGGGTAGTGGTGGGGAAGGGCTTTCGGGGATATTTCCAGCCTGTGGCACCGTTGATTCGTTCGGCGATAGCGCCGGGCCAATCGCCGCTCAAGCTGTATGCAATGTGAGACGATGTTTGATCTATAAGATTAGACCAAAGCAGTGCATGGATGCATAGACCAAAAATCTCTCGGATTAATCATAATCAAGGATACCAATATGACAACACCGCAGCCATCGGTAAACCGTGCGTTGGTTTTGCACCCGGGCGGCACTTTCACCTACTCTGAGCGCGAAATCCCGACTATAGAATCCGATCGGGATGTTCTTGTCCGCGTGGTGGCCACCGGTCTCTGTGGTTCAGATGTACGTGTGTGTTTCTTCTCATCTATGATAGATATAATCTTCTGACACCGTCTTCACGCAGATCCATTACTGGCAGCATGGAAAGCTCGGTCGATACGAAGTCACCCAGCCCCTTGTTCTCGGCCACGAGTCCTCCGGCGTGATCGTGGCTACAGGAAGCAATGTCGATGCACTGAAAGTCAACGACCGTGTAGCCTTGGAGCCTGGAATCTCCTGCAACGTCTGCTCGTACTGCCGCAGCGGCAGATACAATCTCTGCACGTCCATGCAGTTTGCTGCCACACCCCCCGTCAACGGTACCCTGTGCACCTATTATCGGGTTCCCGCTCAATGCTGCTATAAGCTGCCCGACACTGTCTCCTTTCGTGATGGTGCGCTGGTCGAACCCTTGAGTGTCGCAGTACATGCCTGTCGTTTGGGAGGCGATATGCAAAATCGCAGTGTGGTGGTATTTGGTGCTGGTCCGGTCGGATTACTTTGCTGTGCCGTGGCTGCTGCGTTTGGAGCTAGTACGGTGGTTGCTGTTGATGTTGTGGAGGAGAGACTAGAATGTGCGCGTCGTTATGGCGCAACGCATACTTATCGGATGCAGACAGCCCAGGCTGAGGGGGGTAGTAGTAATGAAGCGCAGATTCGTGCTCTCACGGGTTTACCTGAGGGCGTTGATGTTGTTCTTGATGCCTCAGGGGCAGAAGCTTGTCTTGCGTGTGGGATTGACGTCCTTGCATCTGGAGGTACTTTTGTGCAGGTTGGACTAGGAAAGCCTACTGTGGCCTTCCCGGTTGGAATGGTCTGCGATAAGGAGATCGCCTTCAAGGGGAGTTTTCGGTATGGGCCGGGCGACTATAGATTGGCTATTGGACTGCTGAGTTCTGGACGGGTCCGGGTTGATGGCTTGGTGACGCATGAGTTTGACTTTGAGAAGGCGGAAGAGGCGTTCAAGAATGTTGTGGCACGGAAAGGGATCAAGAGTGTTATATATGGACCATCGGTTGATAGCCATATGCGGATGGCATAATGCCTTAGATAGTGAATTGGACTTACAAAATCTGAATGCATCAAGGATTGTGCTTAGTGTGGTTCCAAGTCTATTGAGGTAGAGAAGGGATGTAAAGAAAGGACGTAGGGACCGAAACGTGAAACTAAGAAACGTATATGTCATTCAAAGCCATTTCTACACTCTACAGAATGTGGTTAGAGATTCTCCATCAGATTGCTGTAGATCGTGTCATAATCAACATCACTAAATCCAAGCGACGACAGATAACCCCGACCCTCACGATACGTCTCTCTCAGGTAAGAAAGGAACAGCTTCATAGAGCCCGGGAGTGCCTTGAAATGATTCTCAAGGGCAATTGGTGAAACGGAAATCCCGCCCATAAAAGCAGTTTGGAAAAGTTTCGCTTTTCTCTCGTGGATAATATCCTTAATCTCGTCCTGCGATAAAGTGTAGTCGTAGATTATATCCGTCTCCCACACACCAAGGACGAACAAGAGCAGAGAGATAAAGACACCTGTTCGGTCCTTTCCAAGCTCACAGTGCACTAGCACAGGGCACGACGGATTATCTCTGATAAACTCGAATATAGCTCTGAAAGACTTCACCGAGTTATTGGCGGTATGGATGTATAAGCGAGCGACAGATTCCGCTGGTGATGTAGATATTCCCTCGAAATAGGTCTGGAGGGTTTCACGATCAGGGTTCGCGACGGCGGGCAAAGACACAACAGCTCCATCAAGCAGCACCTTTGGCATTTTGTGTTCCACTGTGCTTCTGAGATCGAAAATAGTTTTGATTCCTAGTTGTGACTGAAGTATACGAGCCCCGGGATGCCCAATAGAATCCAAGTTTGCTGAGCGATATATCACGTCTTTGCGCATGCACCGGTGGGATGAAACTTGGTAGCCCCCCACGTTCCGCAAATTCCATAGCCCAAGATCCTGGTATGTTTTCGACATTTCGTCAGTTGAAGTGTTACATGTGCGGGGTGCTAAAATGTTTGGGAAATGAATGAAGGACTTGGAAGACAACTGCAATGTGACGGTGGGAGAATTTCCTTTAACAATGTTTTGCAGATAACGTATACATAGATTAGCAATATATCCTATAGTAAAAAGTAGCTTGTAAATAAATTATACATAATCCCTTGCTCCTGCTGGCACAAAATCCTACTCATTACATCAAAACACATAGGAACTCATGCAAAAGTATGTTGAAAAACCGGCAAACTGCATGTTATAGCAAGGCATGCCAAAAGTTTAATGCCCTTTAAGGGAAGACAACTGCAATGTGACGGTGGGAGAATTTCCTTTAACAATATCTTACAGATAAGGTATGCGTAAGTCAGCGAATTCGGGTATATCCTATTGTAAAAAGTAGCTTGTGAATGAATTGTGCATAATCCCTTGCTCCTACTAGGGTAAACTTCTACCCATTATATCAAGGCACATAGGAACTCATGCAAGAGTGTATTGAAAAACCAGCAAACTACATGTTGTGGCAAGGCATGCCGAAAGTTTAATGCCCTTTAAGGTTTGGAAGAGTGTACACAAGACCGTTGAAGGTGCGGGACAGGGCACTATCCTTGCGTTTTGTGGAGTACGTTACAACTTATAAGCAAATGTTCAGCGCCATCAGGGAGTATTGATGCTGGACCACGGTTTGCTATCAAGCCTACTTTCATTCATCATAAATAGTAACGAGACCTACTCTGGGGAGTTTTACAGCTATTCCTTACCTCGGGAGTGACAGACCAGGCATGATGGCTTTTACAGTTGATCGAAACAAGTTTGACCCTGTCCTCACGGAGCTCGTGGAGAATGCCAAGGAGCATTTTGGTTCGAATGGGGCATCTGGTGAGGTAATAAACCATGTTGAGAAGGTAAGACCATGATAGGACATCTTCCAACAAGGGCTATCAGAGTTGATTGATCTCTTTTGAATATAGTGCTTTTACGAGGACTTAGGAAATGGCAAAATGTTTCGCGCTCTCTCTGTACCACAAACCGGTCTATCGACCCTGGATCGTCCTATAACGGAACAGGAGTTGCACGACCTCAGTATACTTGGATGGCTCGTAGAAGTGCTCCAAGCCTATATCTTAATTCATGACGACATCATGGATAACTCATTGACCCGTCGAGGCAAGCCGTGTTGGTATAGACGTACATCAGTCGGGATGAAGGCTGTCAATGACGGATGTCTGCTCAAGTCGTCTATATATATTCTGTTCAAGCAACACTTCCAGAAACACCCAGCATATCTAAAAATAATGGAGACTTTTCACGAATTCGCTTTCTTGACTGAAATTGGACAAGAATGTGACGGCATTGCTTCCGATAACCGGAGCACCGAACAATGGAACATGGCAGAGTATGATACTATATGCGAGTTGAAGGGGGGATACTACAGCTTTTACCTATCCGTTCTTCTTGCCTTGCAGTATTTACAACTCGACACGCCCAATAATATCCAGCAAACACGGGATATTCTTGTCCCGCTGGGCAGCTTTTACCAGTTTCAGAATGAGTATCTTGACATCTTCGGCACCCACCGTCTGACCGGGAAGATTGGCACCGACGTACAGGAGAATAAGTGCTCCTGGGTTATTATTCAGGCATTGCGGATGTGTTCTACCGAACAGCGGCATATCCTGCTTGAGAATTACGGTCAGCCAAGTCGAGATTCGGCGATGGAATGCCAGCGGATCTTCGAACTTCTGCCTCTGAGGGAGGAGTATAGGTCAAGGGAAGACCGTGTCTTTGGCAGGCTGGAAGCTAGTATATGCAACTTGGATGAGAGCGAGGGCTTGAGAAAAGGCATCTTTGACATTCTTCTTGGCTCTGTTCGTGGAGTGACAAGGCAGCAAGCATCGAATTGAAAAACCACTGGGAAAAGCGGAAATATGAATGGGATATAATAGTGTGTTGGGACACATATTTCTCCGTCGCCCGATTGACTAGACGAGATACTGTATCGTTTATAGTCTTGACTTTAGTGCGCCGATGATATATATTTTACATCTTGAATGTTAGCTTCCTGGACTATTCATTATATTATTATTTATGTTTTACATTTTCTTATTCAGGTAAAATGAGACATATTGCCAGTAATGACTTTCCTTGACAGACACCAAGACTACCCGATCGACCGACTCTCTATACCCCTTACAGGCATCCCTCCGCTATGTCACTTCAATCTCCGTACATAAATCAATTATGTTTCACTGCATCTATGACAGTGACCACAGTAGATGAGGGATGGAACGTTGACTTGATAGTGCTGGACAAATCCTGTGACCAGGCGCATTGCTAAATTTCCTGGCTAGCATGCGCGAATTTCAATTCGGAAGTAGCATACCACCTAACGCAAGGTCTTAAGGTATCATGTCTCATAACATATCCAAATAACACCATTGGCCAACACTAGTGTATTGCTAGCACTACTTTCTGTGTTCCATTGTTGCGTGTATGTCTGTCCTAGCGTGCAATAGCTTCTGGGCGAACGGTGATCGTTTGCGAAGGGTAGGTCCATAGAAGTAGACGACATAAATTGTCGCGACAAGGACTAAGGATATGCAGACTATAGTTTGGATCAGTAATTTGCTGCAGCAGGACCAAAAGTTGCTTACATAGAATCGTCGACGCATATTCCAAATGATAGTTCCCACCAATATCTGATGGATTTGTCAGCCACTATACACAGGCAAACAGGTCTACATTGAGGGTTGCCATACTTTCATAAAAGGGCGTCGCAGGTACAGTCAACACACCAGCCAAAAAATCTCTAGCCCACCCATTACCTCCTGTAGCAGACGCCGAGTAGGGACCATAAGCACAAATCATGTAGTCGATGGTGGCCATGAAAATGCTAAAGTTGGCAATTCCGACCAAAGCTGAAAAGAACATACTGCCAATCCAATGTGCCTGCGGAAGACTTGTCCATGCAAAACCAATAAGTCCAATGGGAAGACACGGGGCAGTGTAAAGAAGCCACCAGAGTCGAGATTCGTATTGGGCCCTCTCGTCGTTGGGCTTGCTGCGACGTTCGTGAATGTTGCGTTTGATCACTGGGATGACCATGATCCAGGTGATAACGTAGCCTATCATGATGGGAAGAAAGGAAAGACCAACAGCAACGGCACTGAAGTTCCATTGTGCGTACACGAGTCCGAAGGATTGAATGAATATAAAGATCAGAGCGTCAGTAAAGCCACTTAGCAGGGAGAGACACAGCACGATGGGCTCGGTGAGCAGCATGTGGAACGGTCGAAGCCAGGTCCCGACAATCTCCTTCCCTGAGAAGTGGTCCTTGAGAGGTATCAATTCAGTCGGGCCGTACACATTCTCCCCCTTTTCTCGCCGCCGCTTGGCAATCCTATCAATCATAACCGATGTCCTTGTTTCTGGAACGAGGATCAAATGAGCCAGCTGGACGAAGCCACCGAAGATAAGCTGGATCCAGATGTTCCATCGCCACGGGAGGTATGCTTCCACGAAGCCCCCGACCACAGGACCAAGGACTGATCCACCAACAGACGAAAACACCACACATGCCACTGCATACTGCTGGTCTTCAGGCTCCCATAGATCTGCTATCATTCCCAACGTCACGGAGCCGCCGGCTGTACAGATCCCACCAAGAGCCCGACCAACCATGATGGTAGCAAAGTTGGGAGCAATACCGACGGGGATTTGCCATATGTTGACCAGGAAAAGACTCAGTTGAAGGATAGGTTTCCGGCCCATCTCTTCACTCCAGGGTGCCCAGAGCTCACACCCGAAGGCATATAAGATGAGAAAGATCATTGCACCGCAACGAGCCGCCTGCTTGCTCACGTTGAATTCTTCGGAGATTCCGGATATGGCATTGGAGTAAAGGCTGGTATTGAAGTTCATGGTTGTCTGCACGAGGAATATGACAATGATTATCGTCCATTTTTTAGAGGATGGGAACGAAAATCCAAGTTCTGAGTAGCAATCGGCTTCGGTGAGGATCTTTGAGCGTGATGCGGATTCGATCTCGTCACACGTAGGCTGCTGAGAGGCAACCTTTCGGTGGCAACCAGTTGAGGGGGCCGACATGCCTGTGAAGGGTAAAACTCATGAAAATAGAAATAGGGTGTGACTAAAGATGGGAACAAACTGTGAAAGGAATGAGAAGAAGAACCCTCAGCAGAGTATGAGGAGGGAAAAAAAGAAAGAAGAGCACCATATACGAAGAAGGAAAGGCGTTTTATATTACCCCAGAACCCCAGACATAGCCCCCGCATAGGCTGTCAATTCGGCATTCATGCCAATGTTTTACGATGGGCACCCCCAGTTTCTTGCCTAGTCCCGGTCCAATATTGTCCGAGAGGCAAGCCGCCGGGATATAGCCATAATTGAATTTAAAGGTTTGAGTAGCAGTTATTTCCTGGTGGTTCGGGTCCGCGGACCCATCTACAGATGACTACTATCTAGTACCGGCAGCACGAAGACCAAATGCTTGCTAATTCGGGCTCTAGAAAATGAGTTGATTAGAGGTAACCAATGTTGAATCCACATCTACAGATCAAGTTGTGGCCTCATTCGGATGAATATGTTTTCCACGAGCTCATATTTGGGGCCGATGACCGGGACGAGCCCTGACTGTGGGACTCGGCTCGCGGAGCTATCGCCGTGATAAACGCCGGGGATTTTCCCGATAGCATCCACTAGGCTTCGTCAGAGACTTGGCCTCCCCCATGGAGAATAGTGAATATCCTGAGCAACTCGAAGCGATGAGTTTCAGGATTATGTTGGGGTAGTGGCGACCTTGCTGCCGTGATGGCGGGGTGGTTTTGTTTTAAGGACCACAAGCGTAGTATCGAGCCCGAAGATGTTAACCTGTAGCTCTAAGGCAAAAACTCGGTCAAAAACCATAATCAATAGCCAAGTCTATTAGTTCTCTGTCTGAGTAAATAAGCCTCTGTTTAAATATACAACATCCCACCATTAGCGCATATCACATCTCCCGTCACCCATCGGGACCTCTCTTCAGCCAAGAACGACACAATGTCCCCGATATCTCGCACGGTTCCACATCGCTGCCCAGCCGGGACCTTCTTGTTCTGCTCCTCCATCCGCTTCAAATGCACTTCTCCAGCTGCCTGATACATATCTGTATCAACAGGGCCGGGATTGACCGCATTCACGGTTACTCCGTATTTATGACCAAGTTCTGTTGCCCACACCCGTGTGAGACCCTCCACTGCTGCTTTACTGGCTGCATACACAGACTGGGTGGCATAACCGCCCCTAGAAGATATAGACGACAAATTGATAATTCGACCGCCGCGGGGTATGTATGGAAGTATAGCCTGTGTCATGAAGACCACCGCTCGCACGTTGACGTCCATCAGGTGCATGTAGCTTTCCATGGTAACTTCTTCCAGCGGCCGGTTGTCACCCGCGCCAGCGTTGTTCACAAGGATATCAATTCGGTCTGTCTGGAAAGCATCAAGAGCTGCTTGTATGATCATCTTCGGGGCCTTTGGGTCGGTGATGTCGGCTTGAACTGCAACGGCTTCATGGTTGTCTTGTCGGAGCGATTCGATAAGCGCATTTGCAGCTTCGCGCGAAGATGGGGAGACGTAGTTGAATGCCACCTGCATCGATTGTGTTAAGAACCATTAATGTTTTGCAGATTGACAGTATTTGCTGCTAATTACCTTTGCACCCTGTTCACTCAAACTGCGGACGATGCCGGCGCCGATTCCGCGCGCTCCGCCAGTGACAATCGCAACTTTTCCTTCGAGAGACATGATGGGTTTCTTCAGATTGTGTGTGAATCGAGTACTGAATACCAATTCAGCCGGGTCTTGCCAGTGGTTTCATTGTTTAAATGGCCTGCAAAATCAGCCGAAATCTGCAATATGTCATTGGGTCCGAGCCGTGCAGAGAGCAACGGATCTATCGCCGTCGTGCATCGGGGCTATTTCCGGGTGCCGATGAGTGGATGCCGGATGGGTAAACCGTTGCCTTTTGCCACGTAGCTTCCTCTGCATGTCGTATAGACTGCCAATCTTGAACTTATTGCCTCATAGACAATACGTGTACTTGACAATCAGGACTCATATCGAATTCGCATTGAACAACGTTGTGAGTGTAGATGTCGGTATCCCCGGACTCTGCGGGGAGCCGTCTTGGCGTCGCCCGGGGAAATCTCCGTTCGCCACGATTGACTTCTTCATTCTTCCCTTGAACTACACCCGTGGAAATGGACATCTCTCAGTCTCGACGCATTCTTCGGAAGACCTTTGCTTGTGATGAATGCAAGCGACGCAAGATACGCTGCTCTGGCAACGAAAATTGCAACAACTGTCGTCGGGATGCCAAATCATGTCGTTACTCCTCACCATCCCAACGTCTTTCTACTCTGCAAAGGTTGGCCTATCGACTAGCTTCAAATTTGGTTACTTCATCAATGCTAATTAATATAGACGTATTCATGAGTTAGAGCGCTGGAGAGCTGATATGGAACGGGCATGGGCCATCTATCTTCCATCAGTTGATCTCCAGGATGCACTTCAAACCGTTCGCTCTCAACACGACTCTATCACCGCTATCCAGCAAGGCTCACAGAGACAGAAGCACCTCAGCGAGGTTACTCATGCAACGGAGCAGCCTCCTGCTAGTTTTGCAGAACCAAGCAACGCCGAAGACTATGAGTTCGACGAGTCCCAGGACTTTGACAACTCTACCGACGGCATGGGCTTTTTGACGGTCGACCCGCACAAGGCCGGCTATACAGGGCCACAGTCTGGCATAGCGGCCCTCAAATTTCTCCAATCACTTCCACTATATTTACCACTTACTAGCTTCAGCCCGTTGTCTTGCCTTGATGACGACATGGATGGTGGCACCATCTGCACTGCACAGCAGAGACGAGCAGATGTACTCCGCTATCTTGATGACTATTTTGCTATCTATCATCCCGCATATCCCATCTTGCATGAGGGAACCTTTCGTGCTAGGGTTTCAGGTAGCTCTTCGTCACGACAACCAATAAGCGAATGTCTAACCACGAGCAGGTGCCCTAGCAAAGCCACGCGATGGTTCTTGGCCCATCTTGTACAATATCGTACTCGCCATTGGTGCTTTCGTCGGAGATTCGCAAGGCACCAAAGTGGATATACCATTTTTCAAAGAAGCACGCAAGCATCTGTCAATGGACGTCCTCGAGAAAGGATCTCTCAGCTATGTGCAAGCCATAGTACTCATGGCCAACTATATGCAGAAACGTAACAAGCCAAATGCTGCTTTTATTGTGATCGGTATAGGCTGGAGTATGGCACTTGCCATCGGCTTGCACCGCGAATTTGGCATGCCTAGTACTTCCCCTTTTACGATGGAGATCCGCCGACGCGTCTGGTGGACACTCTTTATATTCGTGTCAGGCGTTCAGCTGACTCTTGGCCGACCAGCCGTCTCGCTTGTTGGGGTGAATGTTCATTTGCCAGCTAATGTCGATGACCATGATCTAGCAGTAGACATGGATGAACTTCCTGAATGTGGCACCGGCCCAACTATCACTTCTTGCCTCATAGCGCAAGTGAATCTCGCGAAAATTGCCAATGTCGTTCAGGTAGAGCTATTGACGCACCATTTACCTACTCAACAAAAAGCTGCGGATTTAGAGCAGCGTATACACACCTGGTACCATGAATTACCGCCCCATTTTGGGCTCAGCGTTCCTCTAGAACCGCGTTTCGACATCCCGCGTCGAGTGCTTCTATGGCGCTCGTTCCACCTGCGCATCGTTATCAACCGCCCATTTCTCTTCCAAAGTATCGCAGCTAAATCCGAGTTGGCCACCTCCACAGGTCCAGTCGCTGCCTGTCTCACCGCGGCAGACGAGTGTGTCGCTTCTATCTGCAGCTTTCTTGAGTCAACGAGCAACCGCCGCCGCGGCCTGACCTGGTATGCGACCTGCTGGCTGCTAACGGCCAGCTTTGTCCAAGCGACGTGCTATATCTACGAGCCAGCACATAGCTTGGCGCAGACATGGAAATGTCAAATACAACGTGCGGTAAACTGTTTAGGGAGTCTAGGTTCTTCCCATGATATGGCCCTGCGAGCTAGAGACGTGCTCCAAAATATACTTGGTATGACCACACCACTTTCTACTTTCCTCAAGAAGATTAAGTACTTGCACACCGGTGAACGTGGCTGACATGCGGTAGAGCACGGTCATGGAATTGCCGTTCCCAGCGACATGGCCCCCTACGCTTCCAGCCAGCTACCGGGGTCTTTCCGAGCCCTCTGGTTTCCTACGAACGACCAACAAACGTTCAAACCTAATACATTAGGGCTGGATGATAACATGTCTGGATATGCTCCTGGGTCATTTAACGCCGAATTTCTGGATGCGGCGGGTGGACTGATGATTCAGAATTTCTTCGATAACTACTCGGAAGAGCGTGGACAGGGTGCTCCTGGCTCATCCATCCCTGGATAAACCCTAATTTATTCTTCGAGTTGTCAATAACTCTTATCTACTGTATAACACAAGCTACTTCAGAAGACTTCCTTGGGATCTTGATAGCTTCTCGATGATCACAGTGTGACAACGATCTTCTTAGCCGAGACGCCTTTCTTTAAGATGTCAACAGCTTCCTGGACCTTTTCCAGCCCTTTCCCAACCACCTTAGGGTCCGGCTTCGGTTGAAGGCGTCCGTTCTCCAGGGCTTTGAAGACAAAGTCTTTCCAGATACCCTTCGCGACATGTTTGTTTGAGTCAAAAGTCAGAAAATTGGAACTGACTAAATGGCAAAGGGCGTTAGTAAGATGTAGGGGGAGTCAAGTGAGTGGAAGGAGTAACAAGGAGCCTTACTGAATATAGGCGCAAACCGTTCCGTAGGTTTATCATAAGGTATAACACAAATAGTCCTAACATCTGCTTTCAATTGGTCCAGGACCGCACGCACCATTTCAAGACTTGCAGGTTCAGAAACAGCATCGTAGACACCAATGAACTCGGTATTAGTGAGCGCATTGACAACATCGTCAACGACAGTAGGGGACTTGTAGTCAAAAACAGCAGTTGCACCAAGAGACTTTACCAACTTATGGTTATGGGCCGATGCAGTTGTGATCACTGTTAGACCTGCTGCTACTGCGAGTTGGATTGTTGTTGCACCAACTGAAGATGCGCCACCCCAGACAAGAATCGATTTGCCTGTCGGCTTCACACCAGTAGGAGGGGGGATGGGCAGATCAAGGCTTTCTTTGAGGAACAGACCTGCCGCAGCAGTCGAGATAGCCTGCGGTAGGACGGATGCTTCTTCGAAGGTAATTGAGTCTGGGATTCCTGCTACGGTGGTTTCTTTTACCAAGGTGTATAACTGGAATCCAGAGTTGGCGGGATTGCCGGTACCTAGACAGTGGCAATACCTAAGCACAGATATTAGCAGGTCTCCGTGCTTGTCTATCGTACCTTTATGAAAAAGCGACTGTGGTACTTACGCAACGACCCTCTGACCTTTGGTGAAGCGGACCACACCAGGACCTACACCAACCACCACTCCAGCGACATCTGTGCCCAGAACAAATGGCCAGTTTTTCAGCCAAGGTGCGCCATATGTTCTGTAGATATGGTTAGAATTTTGTTTTCACGCTGCATGATAGTTGTAACATGTATTCGTACTGAATTTTCCAATCAGCGGGATTCTACGAGAACAGAAGATTAGCCGAGATCAATGAAATTAGGGGATTGATCGCACAATAGAAATAGCAGAGTTCTTTATCACGATCACTCCGGGTCCTGGTGTGGGATATGGGGCCTCCTGGATAGTGAAGGGATGCTCAGTAGGAGCTGTAATCCAGGCAGCTCTGTTTTGTGTCATCTTGTGAGGGCTGGAGAGTAGATGGTAGATAGTTGGAATAACTCTAGAAATAAGGATTTCCGATACAGCTTATAAGTTCACAAATCTTTTGTGAACTCAATGTTGCAGCTTTCTTCTCCCAGATGAACACGAAAAGAAAATGCTTCCTGTCAGATTCCCCGGTCTGAGGGGCACCGGTGCTTACTCGGACTTAAACGTTCTGGATCAAACCTTCAGGCTTCCATCCATTCCGCATATTACTCATATGAGACCGTACTAACGTTAACCTAATTAACGTTAAAAATATCATCTCACATAATATTGTTTTTATTAACTAGTAGTCGCTGAAGCCTTCAACTGCACCTCTATAAATCAGATCAAGATAGAGTACCCACGCATACAACGTTCCAGATACTATCATAGAAACCACCTTTTAGTCCCTGTTAGAGAAATTGATGCAAGTCATCTGCGACTCTCACCGTAGGATAGAATAATGTCATGATTGATAAGATATGCGATCTGTCGCGCATCGCAGGATCGGGAGAAATTTATAAAAATAAAGTGTCGAGTAGGCACTCCCCAAACCCTAAGAATATATCTACCTTGTCACTTAGGTTCAGTATATCAAATCCAGCATAGAGTATCTGCGCAGTATTAATTTCCTTCGTTTATACAAGGGTTGCCCCTTGCATGAAGACCCGTGGAACCACCGCGGCAAAGAGCCACGGGGAATGAAACAAAAGCCACGCACCGGCGGCTCGTCCCCGCCGCCCGCCTTGGGTTCCTTCCATTCATGAATAACTACTACTACTAGATAGTGAGTTGATTACCCTTGCAACCTTCCCAGGGCAAGGAACCATCCGCCAAGATGGGAAAGTTGGATCCTGATCTCCAAGGGTTTCTGCATCCCCTCCGTATAGATCATGTCACACTCTATGACCTCTCCCATCGTCTGTCACACACATATCGGGAGCTGGCAGCCAGCTCATCGGAGCAGTTCTTCCCCACCGCCATCACCCAGCTGCCCACCGGCCATGAAACCGGTCGCTATCTGGCTGTCTATCTCGGCCTCTCCTATCTCCGGGTCGCCTTCATTGAACTGCTAGGGCATCAGCCAGTCGGAAGGCAACCTCATGTAAGACGAACCCTGGAGAAGGCGTGGCCCATCGAAGAGCGGCTCCGACGTGACCAAGCCCAGTCCCTATTCGCCTGGATTGGTGACTGCATTGCCGAAGTCATCGCGGATGATCTCGCCAACTCTAAAGGCGATGCACCAAAGGAGCTCATCATGGGAATCTCTTTCTGTTTTCCTACTAAGTTCGTATCTTGCCTATTTAACTTGTCTGGTATGGGGTTAACTGATCGCAGGCAAAAGTTCCTCAATGAGGCCATTCTTATGCCCACAGGCAAGGGGTTCGCCTTGAGCTCTTCCCTGAATCTCCACCAAGCCTTGCTGGATGGATATGAATGTCACACCCGGCGGTCTGATCAGGACTCAGGTGACATGCCCACTAAGCGTCGCAAGACTTACTGTCTACCGAAGTTGAAGGTCACGGTCATGACCAATGATACGGTCGCTACATTAGCTTCTCTGGCATACTCGATAAGGGCCCTTCCCAATACTCGAGTTGTCATGGGGCTCATCGTCGGCGCCGGCTGTAACTCTGCTATTCCCATGAAACTTGCTGACCTACAGGAACTGAAAGTGGCCCATATCCGAGAAAAGCAGCCAGAAGCGGATGAGACCATCGTTTCGACTGAATGGACCCTCCACGGAGCAACCGGGCCTTTGGAGAAGCTCGGTATCGTAACCAAGTGGGATGCTGAACTGGAAGAACATTCCAACCGTCCCGGTTTCCAGCCACTAGAGTATATGGTTGGTGGCCGTTACATTGGCGAGCTCGTCCGCATAATCTCTTATGATTGGTTTCACGGAGTGAAGAGGATCCCAAAGTCTTCATTGCCAGAGGAACTGGTCGAAAGGAACTCACTATCTACAGAATTTTTGTCGCTTGTGGTGGCTTCGAGCTCCTCAAACGAACATCTGGCCGTGGCACTGTCAAACCACCTCCCGTCACCATCCTCGAGTGACTGGATGTGGACCCCCGACTTCGCTGGACATATTCGAATAATCGCTGCGGCAGTCCAAGAGAGATCATCTGCCTTGGTTGCTGCAGCGACGGTTGGTCTTTTAGCATGCACTGGCGAGGTAAATTTGAAGAGCACAGCACACTTAGAACCGGATGATGAAAATCACAAACCAGGCAAATCGATAAGCACTCAGAATGATACAGTGTCAGATTCCAAAGCAGTGATACCCGGTTGGCAAAAAGGGCCGGAGGAGCTGGTTGTGGCCGTGTCTGGTGGTGTGATCCAGCACTACCCTCACTACAAGGACCGAATTCAGCGACATATCGACCGATTGATTCTTAGTGCTGGACCACAGGGTGAAGGGAAGAGTGTCTTCCTTCGAGAGGCCAGCGATGGTGGAATAGTTGGGGTGGGCGTTCTGGCTGGTACTGCGGCCGGAGAAATTCAGGAAATAATTGGCTCGACCTTGGAATCAGAGCGCATTTAGGTGGAATCACCATTCGAAGGCCACCCGAGAACAATATGAAATAATTATTGATACTTTCGACCAATATGGAGTGTTTACAGCCTATATATATTTATATTGGGGCGAATGAAGCTTCTTTCTACCTTGCACTCCAATATTCTGTTCTAATCACCTGCGATACAAAGTGTGTGGCCTTTTCATAATGTGCGTGTGAAAGATAATTATTGACACTGGCAGTAGCACCTAAAAGGCCGCCTGCAGAAGGTATTCCTTCGTTTCAGTCAGCTGACTGCAGCAGAAATTAGGTTTCAGCGAAGCCAGCTCCTCCATCTTATAGTTCCCTGTCGCAACAGCCACGACTGAGCAACCAGCTTGCTTCGCACATTCCACGTCAAGGGGTGTGTCTCCAACGACTAGGACGTCTTTTGCGCGTATATGAGAGCCAAAGCGGACCTTCAATTTTGAGAGGGAATCTTGAAACAATGATAGTCGATTATGGTGGCTGTCCCCGAATGACGAGATGTCAAGGTCGAATATGCTGGTGTCAACTCCCGCCCCGCGGAGTTTTAGCAACGCGTTGGGACGAGAATTGCCCGTAATGAGACCCAACTGGAACTTCGGTTGGCCGGAGTTCTCATTCTCCCTAATCAACCAGCTGAGCATTTCCTGTGCGCCGGGGCATATCACCGATGGAAGACCCTTGGACAAAGAACGCTCCAGATACTGTGGGTGGAGTTTGAGGAATTCCTCCACCACTTGATCCTTCAGGGATACTTGGTGATAATCCAAAATGTCGTGCAGCAGGCCAAGATCAGTTCGTCCGTGCAAGTTGACCGGGGTATTTGCATGATTGATGTCCTTTCCCACAATGTCGCTCACACAGGAATAATATGCGTCAATGCTGAGAGCCTCTGACCGACAGAGTGTGCCGTCAATGTCAAACAAGATTACCTTCTCGCTAGGTGGGGAGGGGGGCCTGACAAGGACTCGTAACAACTCCCGTGAACCAGTGAAGGAGGCTCGCCCATGCAGGTACCGGTGGTTATCTAGCACATAACCCTGACCGGGTCGCAGGGATACGAAATAGGCATGCTGATAGATGATATCCTGCAGCTTGGTGAAGCCAACAACCATAGATGCCGACATCTGAATGCCGTCATCGAACCGGAAGCGAAAGATTCCAGTCTCTTTGTCGACCATGGCCCGTGGCACGAACGTTCCATCATCGGCACGGAAGCTGGTATGCTTTGAACTAGTGAATAGGTTGTACAGATCCTCATCATGTTGCCTAAGAGCGTTGAGGACATTCTGGCCGTCAACCAGCAATGACTCGCCCCCGGACTCTGACTGAGAACGGAGAGTTGACATCAAAATGCGCGGGGGTTCGTCCCATCCGCTGCGATCGGTATGGAAGAATAGCTCTGTGATCTGTACGTCAGTCTACGACCTGCTAAACTATTGTCGTTTTAAGGACGAACCTTCAGAGCTGTATCCCTTTCCCACCAAATCTGATGCAAATCGAATTCGACTTACACCACTGCCGGGTGTTTCCTCATTCCGCGGTCTCACGACTTGTCCCAGTTGGTGAGCAAGACCTACTAAGGCCTCTTCCTCACACCCCTCCACAAATGCTATACCATTATTGAAGACAGAGGCACGGATGGACTCGATGTCAGATGGGTCATAGAAGGTTGGGACTGGAATGGTACGTCAACTAGATGATAAGACTTTCAGTGAAAGACAAACATACCATTCGCACCCAGACCGCACTTTTTGATATCCATGGCTATAATCCGTTCAGAGACTCTTTTCTCTCTGTTTTAAGTGTTCCTACAAACTGCTCGGCAGTGAAGGAACCAAGGCCCTTAAATACTTGGGGTTTTCAGCTCGGCGATCCTCATGCATTCACTAGCATTACGAATTTCGCCGTCGTCAACACTGGAATCCCTTTGGTCCTTCACTGGCGAGACCATCTAGCTGTGGTTTTCGTCAGCGAAAAATTAGCCGACGGCAAGTGTTGCGTCAAATCCCGGTCAGTACACTTGTCCATACGAGGTAAACATCATGTCTGGGCCTCAGCTCGCGCGTGCGGATGACCTATAAAACTGTTTCCTTTTCAGGGCGCTTTATTGCGACAATGCAACATTACATATTCGGCTTGCGTACCCTGGTCGCCGCTAGTTACATCGTGGACTACCCGGTGCGCCAATGTCTTCCTCGCGTTCCTACATGAGGCGGCGATCCCGATGCAATTAGTCGATAGACCCCTGCGTTTGGTGGTCTTTACTGACCGAGATGAGTAAGACCTGCTATTGAAGGTATAGTTCTAGTCAGTCAGATGCGTGTTACCAGAACGGGTACGCAACTTCCTGGATTACGAGGCTCGTGGGTTGCACCCGCTTATTCCGCGTGTGACAATTGCATTCAGAATCGCATGTACGCAAGGAGACTGGCCCTGAAGACTCGCGAGACCGGCTCGGTGCCCAGCGATAGGTGTGACTGTGTACAGGGTTGGCCCATATGGCGAGCAGTGATCGGCATAAGCGCTAGAGGCAGCATGCGAGTGAATGTAACCTCAACTTAGATTCAATTCGAGTCATTCCTAGGGATGATTGGTGGCTGGGCTGCACTACCTCCCCGCCTTTGGTGTCTCGGGCTGAAGCTGCAATCTAAATCCAACGGTGATCCCACCTCGCTGAGGCACTGATCTGACCGCTCGGGGTCGATCATGCTGCGCACAACATGCATATATTGCTGCACTATCCTATCAGAGTCACTCTCAATTACAGGGGTATTAGTCCAGACCGCAAATGACTGTCCTCGCAACTCCGACGCCGGCGACCATTCTGTTGTCTAAGAGCAACTTAGGCGATGCTACCTTAGAGAGGGGGTGAATGAAGCCCATGCAAAAAGGAGGTCGCTTCAAATCGTCTTCTTCCTCAGTCAAAACATCTATTTCCGTCTCGCTCTCTTTCAACCGCACCAGTCTCATCCGATGGTTTCGCCCAAGGCGAAGGTTTTCCTCATTGCTGGCCATGTCGCCCTGGCCGGGCTCTTGTATGGCCTGGACACAGGTCTGTTCACTTCCCTCACCCCATGGCCCCGAAACTCACACTTTCAGGTTCGATTGGTCCGATCACGCAAATGCGCCAATTCGAATCCTCTATTGGCCGATTATCATCTACGCAGCAGGGTGTTTACGTCGCTTGTATCCTCCTTTCGTCATCCGCATCCTCTCTGGCGAGTGGCCATGTCTCGGACCGCATCTCGAGAAAGTACGGAATTCTCATCGGCAGCCTGCTCTCACTCGCAGGGACCATAATATCCGCCTGCTCGCCTAATTTCGCTAGCCTGATCGTCGCCCGGCTGATTACCGGGGTCGGCATGGGCCAAGCCATTTCTGTGACCACTGTGTACCTGGTGGAGATAGCCCCTGCAGATGTGCGGGGCGTGGTGGCTTGCTCACTTCAGCTCTACGTGGTTTTTGGCATTATGGCGGGGTACTTCATCACCTATGGGACACAGTATCTCAATGGCAGCATGTCATGGAGAGTACCATTTATCATTCAGGCCATCATGGCCGCCGTGCTGTCGGTCGTGATGCTTATGCTGCCATTCTCGCCTCGGTGGCTAGTACAGGTCGGCCGCAATGAAGATGCACGTCGGGTTTTGCGTAAACTGCGCCCTGAATCTACAGTGAATGAAGAGCTACGGGATATTCAGGACAGTCTGCAGTCTGACCAGCGGCGACCGACCGCTAGTATGGCGGAGATCTTTGGTCGGAAGTACATTAGTCGTACATCGCTTGGAGTGTTTCTTATGACTTTTCAGCAATTGACAGGGGTGAGTCCAGCTTCGTCCCACTTCACTCCCAATGCGCTCATGGTTCTCGACCGGGCCTCCTGGACACTGGACTAACTAACTATAGATCGACGTTGTCCTATACTATGCACCTATCCTTTTTCAACAAGCGGGTTTTACATCCACTAAGGCGTCCTTCCTGTCATCCGGCATCATCGGCATTGTGATGTTGGTCTTCACTATCCCCGCCCAGATCTGGGTAGACCGATGGGGGCGTCGCAAGCCGTTGATCACCGGGGGATCAGCAATGTCCATCTGTTTCATCATCATTGGAGCACTGTACGCCCGTTACGGTCACACAACTCACGATGCTGTCACCCTCGAATCTCACTCTGCTCAATGGGCCGTGGTGGTGCTAATATTTATCTTTGTGGCAAACTTTTCCTGGTCGTGGGCTGTGGTGAGTACTCTTCGTCGAGTTGCACAGACTGATTTGCTGATGTGGTTCTCTTTAGGTCGGCAAGATCTACGCCTCAGAGATCATTCCCACTCGTCTCCGGGCCAAGGTATGTGCAGTAGAGCTGCTGGCTAACTGGATTGTCAACTTTATCGTCACTCTTACTGCTCCGTTGTTCCTGCATCGGTCTCCGTCAGGACCATACTTCTTATATGGGTTCTCGACGCTTGTGGCGGTGGCGGTGTGTGTGCTGATGCCGGAGACGAAGGGGAAGAGTTTGGAGAGTATTGAGGAGTTGTTTGAGAAGGGAAGTGATAATGAAGCAGCATAGATCATTGTCTTGCATTGCTGGTCGTGCTACTTAGACGCCGACGTTCGTGACGGATGCGAATCTAAATGAAGCCACTCACCATGAAGTTATGATTACTAGCGCTGCGACCCCACTGGTGGCTTAGATCCTGCCAAAATATTAATATGTTATATTCACATCGCTAATTGGGGCTTACAGTGGGCAAATTATTGAAACAGCCTAGCTTACCCCATTCACCTGATAATAGATAGGTAGATACATGACCAGTTGTCAGCCCCATCAGTACTACCTAGTTTCAGAGCCTCATCCATGCATTTACTCACACTAATCTCCAAGCCTTGCACACAATAATCATTCACAAATCTAGTATTCGCCGTTATCACCATCTGGATAGTCATCCCACGCATTAGTATAGTATAGTAAAGGAATATGCATCTGACAAATATATAACTTAGACTAGTAATTCCCGCTTAGAACTATCTAATATATACAAAAGACCCTCTTCCGCCCCTTCTACCCCGACTCATCATGCCGCTTTTGCCTGATCCTGACTCATGCGTCTTGTAAAGGCCTGAATGGCGGCTGAAATGCTTGGTGAGGTTGACATCGAAGAAGCCGGAGGATCTGAGCACCTCGTCATCTATCTGGTTGGACTATGCAGTGTCTAGTGGATAGGACCTGTGCCGAAACCCTTGTCAGAAATGAGGTGCGAGGTATGGAGTTGTAGTTTGTCCATGAGGACTGAAAAGCAGAGCGGTTCGAGAGGAGTATAGTAGAGGTTGAGGATCACATTTGGGTTGGGTTTGAGGTGGGGATGGGGATGGAGGGTGTGGTAGTTGTTATGTAACGGCTTGTTGTATGGGGGTTAGAGGGGGTTGAAAAGGGGGGTTGAATAGGGGTGTTGTTGGTTGATGGTGCTGGTGCTGGTGCTGGTGTTTTGGGGGGCAAGTGGTTGTGTGGTTGTGTAGTGATGGGGTTTGGGTAGGTCGTCTGTAAGAGAACGGGAGGGATGTTGTTCGACCGGAGTCAGAATACGGAAGCCAGTTCTAGGAGATTTGGCTCCGGTCGAACAGGACCCCAAATATCATGATCATAGCTCAACTGGATCTGGTCGAACAGGAGCCTTGTGGCTCCCTTGCCTGCAGCAGAACTCTATATCTGCTTCTCTCTACCGTTTCGTGCAGTCATAGCTGATGACACCAACCAAGCACTCGTAGTCGGATCAGAACGCTTCATATTCAAATATACACAGAGTAAAAATGACTAGACATGGACAACAGCTAAAAGTCCAGTTGAGAGTTTGTTCATACGCTGAGTTTGGCAGCAAAAACAAAAGCACATCCATCTATCTATCAGTCATTCGCCTTAGAAGCTCTTTCCCATGAACTTTCTCTTGGCGAAGCTCAGCCACCACTATATCCTTGTTTAGCCTATATCCCTCCATGTTTGCAGGGTATGGATACATACCTTGGAAGGCCCAACACCACCGGGGTATAACCGCGCATGCAACCGCATCGCAATCTCCTGCCTAACCTGCGAGAGGTACCTATTGCAAACCAATCAGCACTGTCCAACACAGCGGCTCCGGTCAAAATGGGCTGCTTGATTTTTAACATACTGTCTCAATGTCTCCGCATCCTGGCGATCGCGGGGCGCCTCGAACGCCTGGTTCAGAGGGAAGGACACGTCACCGGGAATAGCGAACTGGTCGAGCGCAACGTTGATCAACGCCTACAACGAATACCCATTAGTACTTCACTTCACATCATTTATCACCATCACCAATCCCCAACAACCCAGCACAACAGCGGCAAGCAAAGCATACCTTCTCAGCCTCGCGCATCACCATACCGGGCTTCACCTTCCCCAAGCATTCACTGATAAACAAGGTACCATAGATAAGCATGCGATCGGCGGGCCCATTGATCTCAAAGTTACGGAACAGGACATTCGCGCGGAACAGGGAGAGGATCTCGTCGACGCAGTCGTAGGATTCGCTGTCGGCGGGCACATCGGTGGTGTCGGCGGTGGGCGGGAGCGGGGGGAGGGTGTATGCGGGGCCGCGGGTGCGAGTGCGGAGGGGGAGGATGGGGAAGTTTCCTATCAATGGGTGATTAGTTGGGTTGATGAGCGAGAGTGGTGGATTGTAGTGGATGGTGTAGGTAGCTGTCGCTGTATGGGGGTAGCTAAGTGGGTGTATGGCGGGGAGCGCGGCCGTACCTATTACGGGGACATCCCGATCCTCGAGGAAGATGGAGTGGTATGCCTGGTATTGGATGAGTCAATTTATCTGGGGGTATATATCGGAAGGGATGGAGGAAAAGGAATAGTACCGGCATTGTGAGCTGCAGGAAATATAATGGGTGGTGGTGGTCCTTAGAGCCGGTCTAAGGAGGGAAATAGGGAAATAGGTAGATACAATAGGGAGAGGGACGGAGGTGCATGTCATCACCCGTGCCAGTCCAAGAGCTGCCGCTGTCCTTGTCCTGGGCGGGGAGATTTTCCGGCCCGAGCCTCTTTACGCGCTACGCGTCTCTCGTGGTTTCCGGATAACTACAATTTCACCAGACTCCCATTTCTTTTGATATAATTGGAGCTCTGCATTATTATTCGGGGATTGAGTGCATCGCTGGTCTGAAATACACATCATGTCCGACTACGAAGATTCAATGGACGTGGACGTCCCATCCAAGAATGCTATCCAATTCAGCTCCGACAACACAAATGGCAAGGCAAAGCGAGTAGCAGCTGATCTGCCCGTCGAAGCTCAAGATAACCTCCCTTGGTAAATTCCCTCTCTTCACATAGGCAGACTGCCATTCTCTAACGGAACACTATAGGGTAGAGAAATACCGTCCCAACACCCTAGAAGATGTATCCGGCCACCAAGACATTCTCGCAACAATCAACAAATTCGTCGAAGCAAACGTACACCCCCCATCCCCAATTCATCCCCTCAATGATATCCCTAATCTCACAAAATCTCTAACACCCTAACAGCGCCTCCCTCACCTCCTCCTCTACGGCCCCCCCGGAACCGGCAAAACATCCACCATCCTAGCCCTCGCGCGCCGAATCTACGGCGCAAAGAACATGCGCCAAATGGTCCTGGAACTCAACGCCAGTGACGACCGCGGCATCGACGTCGTCCGCGAACAAATCAAGACCTTCGCCAGCACAAAACAGATCTTCTCCATGGCACCTTCATCCTCCACCTCCACCTCCACCTCCTCCAACCTCGCCTCCTACAAACTCATCATCCTCGACGAAGCCGACGCCATGACGGCCACCGCGCAAATGGCCCTCCGTCGCATCATGGAAAAATATACCGCCAACACGCGCTTCTGCATCATCGCCAACTACACACACAAGCTCTCCCCCGCGCTCTTGTCCCGATGTACGCGGTTTCGCTTCAGTCCGTTGAAGGAGGCGGATATCCGTGTATTAGTGGACCTTGTGATTGAGAAGGAAGAGGTGAATATCCAGCCGGAGGCGGTGGATAGTCTTGTTCGTCTGAGTAAGGGTGATATGCGACGGGCGTTGAATGTCCTGCAGGCTTGTTTTGCCAGTAGTATACCGTTGCCGACGAAGAATGCGCCCAAGGATCAGGATCAGGATCAGGATGCGAAGGGGAGGCCCGAGGCTGAGGTCATTACGAATGAGACGATTTATGATTGTATTGCTGCGCCTCATCCGTCGGATATTGAGGAGATTATGACGACGTTGTTGGCTACGAGTGATGTTACCTCCTGTTTGAGTACCATTAATACCCTCAAGGCCAATAAGGGCTTGGCGTTGGCGGATATTCTCGCGGCCCTGGGCGATCAGTTGCAGAGGTTGGAAGTGCCCGCGCAGACGAGAGTTACGTGGTTGGAAGGGTTGGCGGAGATTGAGTGGCGGTTGGCTGGGGGTGGGTCGGAGACGATGCAGACTGGTGGGTTGGTGGGTGTGGTGAGGAATGGGTGTGAGTTGATGGGAAAATAGATGTCTACGAAAGAAGATTATAATGTCATTATAAAGGTTAATTGGTATACCAGACAGTCGGATGAGGCTGTCGGCTGGATGTCTTCCTCTCTCGGCATCGTTTCTGGATTCATTATCTCATGTTGTGGTGTGCACATGGTATACTTTTTAAGCCAATTTTCGGCTATGTTACAGGTAGGGTAATTGAATCTAGGATAGAGGTCACGATGTCATCTCCACATCTCCGCTGCCCGTCTGTGTCTCAGTCGGTGTCTCCGTCTCCTTGGTCACCTTCCTCCTCTTCCGGCCTGAATTTCCAGCCGCCTCGATGATCTGCTGCGTCGGGATGACCCGGATGCCGTGGAAGATGTACCCTTCTGCACCACCACGTCCCGACATCAATGGATGTGTCCGTCCAGGCAGGACCTGCCACACGCGTACTCGGGAGGTTTGCAGCGTCGGTGCAAGCAGCATGGTAGGGTCGACTGTGAATTCCTCCTCCAGGGCGGGGTGCATCTTCCCAGACTCATCCTGGCCGTCGGCCTGTTGCTGTTCTTGTAGCTCACGCTTCCGGGCGATGTAGGCGTTCTTGCGCGCTGTCGAGTACAAGTCCATTACCTCTGTCAACGGTTCAATGGTAGGCGAGTAGATAGTGATCGGTGCTGAGCCTCCCACCAATGGGACAGTGTACTTCAGGATACTCGTCGGGCTCATGAGGGAAGCGATAATGAGGCCGTCAAACCCGCCGGCCCGGGCTTCGTCGACTACCCTGCGAACGCGCATCCACCGCCCGCGCTTGCGGTGGTAGGCGCTACGCTTGCTGGCCTTGTACGTGGCAAGCTCCTCTTCGGGTACTACCGACGGTTCCTCGGAGTAGATGTTGTCCGCGTTAGGGTCGAGCAGCTGCATGAAGGAGACGGTCTTGAGGTTTGTGTAGAGGGGATGTGTGTCGCTCGGACTATCTTGTTCGTAGCCGAAGTATTTCAGAAGACTTAGGTTGGGCTGTTTGTTGGCGTGGAGAAGGGTGATGGTATTTCCTGAAGCGGACATCTGTGGTCGACGGGGTGGGCGATGTGTGGTGGTCGTCATGGTTTGCTCCTCTCCCTCTTGGGCTTTCTCTTCGCCGTCTTGGGGTTTCTCTGCCTCATCAGCTTCCGCCGCGGCAGGCCGCTCGATAGCATCCTGTTGTTCCTGGTCGTTCTCGCCATCGTGAGGATACAAAATTCCCATTCTCTCAGCCAAAGCTGCGACGACCAGACCGCCCGTATCATCGACAACGAGATAGCGACCATTCGGTTTTGAGGTGACAGTCTCGTCAAAAGAGGTACTACCACCGTGATGCACATTTCCCCAACACCCAATGAGGCCGATCAGTTCGTCGCGCAGTTCCATAGTCCGCGCTGCATCCTTGTCCTCAAGCATGTAGTTCGTCAGGAGACTGACATCCAGAGGAATCACCGTGAACCGCTTCATGTACTTCTTCTCCTTCCGTAGCTTATACTTGGCCAGTGAGAATGCCGTCTTCTGATCCAGGGCCTGATGCGACTCGAGCAGCTTCGCAATAATTTCCCTGCCCGCTCCGGTGCTTTCCTTCTTCAGCGCCAGAATCTCCTCTAGCGTTAACTTTTGCGTTGATCGGTCGTCGATAGTTTCGCGGTTCGACCGCACCGGCGTGCCATCTTCATTGACCTCTACATCATCGCCGTCGCCTTCACCCTCGGTAATGAGGGATTCCGCGTGAAGCTCTGCCGCCGATACGATGCGAAGGTAGGTGCTATCAGCTTGTCCGGGGGTCTCGTGGATCTCGAAGGTCAGGTAGAAGGGACGACCAATGATTTGGTTGGCGGGGAAAGCACCGTATTTTCCTAGAGAGATTTGCCTATCCAAGGTAGTTAGTGCCGTGCAACTTTTTTCGGGGCAGGCAAGTTGCGCGCATACGTATTGGGAACGACCTTCTGGATCCTCGTCGCCTCGGAGGGGAGCTTGAAGGCGATGAATTGATTTGGTCGCACGTAGGAATGCATGATGCTGAGAGTGCTTCAAGTGATATGTAATGTAATAAGGATCAGCGCATTCTATGCAAAGAAGAAGAGGTCAATTCAAGCGACCTGAGCCAATAACCCCACCAAAGTCGCAGCGTCTGGTTCCAATTGAATTCCGTTACTTTTTTCTGCGATAGCGCACGGACCCTCCACCACTGCGATAATGCACGGCTTATGTAATGAGTATAGCAGCGGATCATCTGTTCCTCCTCAATTCCGTGCTTGTACGTCATTGAGGTGTGGCGGTGTGGCGGTGCCCAATACGCGGAGAGTGTGGCGGTGCCGGCGGGGCGTAACCATACAATACAGTAATCGCAGGCAGCCACATTGCGAATCCCCCCACCAAATAGCGGTAACAGCGGTAACGGGAGAACAGGCAGGGGTCCACCGCCAATCCCGAGCATCGATCGCAATCCATCCATTCATTCCATCAGGGAATCCGGGTGCCTGTGACCCTCGACGGTCATTCCCGCCATTGTTGTTGACTTCGCGTGCCTTTCCTCCCTCAATTTTCACTTTTCATCTTCTTGTTGCCTAGGATCGTCTATTCATCCCCCCTGCAAAAGGCATGGCTGTGGCTGCTGCTTTGCTTCTCGCGTATACTGGCTAATCTTGATCTCCTCGTCTTTTCCGGAGCCACTGCCTGGTTACGTATACATCCCCGAGAGCTCCCAACCACGTCTGCGGCACTCTGGCGCCCATTCGTGCGTCAGACTGTCAAACTAGGCAATCTCACCTGTCATCAGAGGAAGCCTGTCGATCTAACTCTTCTGACTGGCTCCTTGACCGCACTTTATTGGCCCTCAAGCTTGTCCAACCCTCTTGTGATTCCCCCGTGAGCTCGGTAACCCCGGGCCTCGTACACTAAGAGTTCGCCTCATGGTCTTGCGAAAACGAGCTCCGCCACGCCTCAACAGCCTTCCTCAAGGGAATGACCGTACAGGGTCCCGTTTCACCAACTCCAAACTCTCCCCGACTTCCAAATCTCTCTCATCCTCGTCGCCAAATCGCCTGACTCGCCCGCGACGGGCTCAAAGCTCTCCTCAACCTCATCGGGTTGTTTCTCAGGAATCGGTCTTTTCTCCCGACCTCAATACCTCACCAGCTTTTGACCTCATGCCGTTGGAACAGGCGCAGAGATCGCCAATCCGGAATTCGGCCGGGGACGGGTCGAATCCGTGGGCGGACGAGCTCACTGCGCGGTTCGGTTTGGATCACCAGGGGTCGGTTGGATCTCCTCAACAAATAGCTAGTAGTCCTTCGCAAGGTATGGGGATGGTGAACGGAAACGCATCAGACCAAGTTCCGTCTACCTCCTTTCCTGGTGCTCAAGAGAGAGGTGCTGCGGAATGGCGATCTGACAGGGAGTACACGGGACAAACACCGGTGCAGCTGCAGTCGAACAACCCTTTCCTGAAACC